AAACCAACCGTTGCTAGAGCAATTGTAGAGATCACCAGGTTGACCGTTGATCGTGTAAGCATCGGAAACATTAGGAGCGGCCCCTGTTCTCGTGGCCTGTCTCACAACATCAATTGGGTTTGCATTCCACCATTCACCTGCTCACCAAGTAATAGTACATTGTGCTTAGTAATTAGTACTACTAGCAGTTTTTGGAGAAAAAAAAAAAAAAAAAAAAGTAGAGTTATCATTTGGATCTCTCAGTTACCAAGAAGAAGGGTACTCTCGCGGTTTGGCTTCTTGAAAGGGTAAGATTCTCGGGGCCGAATGATCAAAGCTCCGTAAACGGTGGCTCTCAGCCATGAACTGTGAGCATGCCACCAAAGTGTACCTTCTTGCCCTTGAATCGTAAATCGGTAGGTGTAACTTCCTCCTGGCCTTATCGGGCATTGAGTCACGAATTCTGGTCCATCGGCCCATCCGGTCCTCATCTGCCTCACCCCATGCCTATGCAATTCGGTTCAACATTATATGAAAATATAAATAACAAAAAGATGCGAATGTATATGAATCTATTCTCAACTTCTAGTAGCGAAAGCTGAGAATCACTTCTTTTTGAGTTCACATCATATTTTTTTTTTCGGTTGGAAGCTCGAAATCACTTTCTTTTTCCTTTGTTTTTTTTCCCCCTTAGTAAATATTTACATTTAGCAAGTATTTTGCATGCATGGGAAGGATAGCTGTGGACAATTTACCAGTGAATGGTGACATTGTAACGCGCTCGGTTAACAACGTTGACAACTAGACTGTCACCATTTTGGACTTCAAGTGTTGGGCCCGGGAACATCCCGTTTACTGTTATGGTGCTTCGAGTTTTGCACAGCCTCTTCACCGGAGTTGCTTGCACCTGTTTCACAACGGTATATTGAAAAGGATAAAAACCGAGAAAATGCAAGATACGATTAGAGGAATATTCGAAAGTGACACAAACCACAAATGTATGAGTATGAACTTCTGCATTTGTTATCGGCATTGTGCTCGTGAAGAGCAGCAGGGCTGATAAGACGAAGAAAAAGGTGGTATTCTTGAAGTCCTTCATCTTCGTTCGAGTCTTTTTCGAAGTTTCTTTATATGAATTGAGTTATGCTTTGCTTTGCTTTGTGGGAGACTAAGAGATAGGGGAGTTGTTTATATAGAGAGTATGGGGTTTTGAGTTTGGCAGATTAGGTTTTGAAAGTGATGAGTTTTAGAGGGCAAAACTTAGTTCAACCCTATTAGAGTTGTTGCACCCACTAGTTGATCAAAATCAAGAAAAACAAATTCACCACTTAAAATGCTTGATTTCTAAGTCATTTTGGTGAGGTTTTCACATTAAGACTTGTTTTTCGTGTGCATGATTCTGTGTCTTAAATTGTGATGTGAGGTTAATCATTAAAGTTACTTGTCTCCAACTTTTTCTATCACTATTTAGTGTTTTTTTTTTTTTTTTTTTTGGCTGTTTATTTGATTAGATGTTTGTAATTACGAAATTATTTTGTTAATGCGACATTAACTTTAATCTCTCTATAGACGAACATAAATGGATAATATATCAAGTTAGGGAGACTCTACAGTTCTGTTACGGAATCAGAGTTTGTAACCGTTAGATCAACTATTCACGAAGGTTACATGATGATCTAACGGTTACAAAATCCCGACGAAATGGTTCCATAACGGGATGGTACATAATACATATACACACATTGTGGTTTTTTCATTGAGGTTTTCACACTGAAGACTTGTCTTTCATGTGCATGATTATGTGCTTTGAATTGTGATGTGAGCAGTGAGGTTAATCATTATTCAAAGTTTTGTTGTCTTCAAAATTTATACGTGATGTAGTTATTTTTATTTTTTGCAAAAATACAATCAAACAAAATAAAATCATAAATAAATTATTCATAAATGGTTATAGAAATCGGGGAAATTCTATTAGAGGGCCTAATTTTTAGTAATTGTATTAATCTAGGGCTTGAATTTTTTATTTTTTCAATAGAAGGCTTATATTTTAGGTTATTCTCATTTTAAGGCTTATATTTTAGTTAACTTTTCATTATAAGGCCCAACTAACTTTATTTTTTCATATAAATATGTAAAACAATTATTATGTGAATAAAATATTATTATTGTTATTATTATTATTATTATTATTATTATTTTATAATTTATATTTTGCATACTTATAATAAAAAGTAATAAATATCTTTCGTAAATTTTTTAATAAAAAATAATTTCAACTTTTTTTTTGGAAGCAAAAGTTGATACTATGTATGCATGTTGAAAATGATATATTTTTGTAGATTGCATATATATATATATATATATATATATATATTATTTTTTAGTTTTATTACATATTTATATTATTAATATAAATACTATTTCCATTACATATTTTTTGAATTCACTAAAAAATATAAATTACAAAATAATAATAATAATAATAATAATAATAATAATAATAATAATAATTTATTCACATAATGGTTGTTTTATATATTTATATGAAAAGGTAAAATTAGTTGGGCCTTATAATGAAAAGTTAACTAAAATGTAAGCCTTAAAGTAAGAATAACCTAAAATGTAAGTCTTCTATTGAAAAAGTAAAAAATTCAGGCCCTAGATTAATACAATTACTAAAAGTTAGGCCTTTTAGTAGAATTTCCCCAAATCAGTGCAAAAAAATAAATTGCATATCAACCTTGTGTAAAATTTGAAAATTAGTATATTTGCAATTTAAACAAAAAAAAAAAAATTTGTTAAATGTGCAAATAAAAAAGGATAGGTGAATGGAGTAATTATCAATTAAATTGCAATCAGTAAGTCGGATTTATTGGCAATAATTTGTGTTTAAAGAATTCTAACTTTCTAAGCACTTATTTAGAAATCTTTTTTCCTGTTTGCTTGATTAAATTAAAATTGAATTTCCCATACCATTAAAAAAAAAAAAAATGTCTTTGAGAAAAATTATTATATATTGGACTTGTAATTAATAGTTAATATATGCATGCAATAACGTAGGCTTATTTGGAGATTGATTTTAGACAACATTGGAGGATAATAAAAAGTCATTTACTTTAATCATAATTAGGTTGAAATTGTATTAATCATCATGAAATATAGCTAGAATTCTAATTTGGTCTGCATCTAATAATTAGGGAAATTTTTACATGTACTTACAGATTTTTAAGTAATTGCGAAATTACCATCCAAACAAAAATATTTGTTTATATACCTAATATATAAAAAGTATTTATAAGCATGCCTAAAAAACCGTTCGTGGATTGTGAACAGTTACGTGGATGCTGAACAGCTTCCATAATTTTAGGGGCACAATATCAGCTTTTCAAATATTGAAAAGATATTATATTCGAATGTTAACTGCATAATCATCGTTTGACCGCATGTTGTTACAATAACAATACAATGTTATGTAACAAGACATATAACCTACATATATACAAGAAATATACCAGAAACAGAACATAACCAGACATGTAACCCTACATAGAGTAATGCTCACCTACCCACGGTGGGCACATGTTAATATACTCACCGCTTATGTGGCACGCACACATTGGTGATGTATTTTTTTTAAACATATTAACATCACCAATGTGTGCATGCCACATAAGCGGTGGGCATATTAACATGTATCCACCGTGGGTAGGGGAGCATTATCCACCCTACATATATACCCGACATATACCAAAAATTGAACAATGTTCTGTAATCGAGCATATAACCGTAACATATATACCATATATATAACTGTTATATATTCTATCATAAAACATAACAAATATATCAATTCACAGTGAACACAAGATAGAAAAAAAATAAAAAAAAACAACTTATATACACTTTGATATACCGAATATATACATATAACAAAAAAAAAAATAATAAAAAACCGAAAAATATACTATACATATACTCCAAAATAAGTGAAACGAAAAAAAATCTCAAAAATCATCTTCTTCAACCTCCCGCAAACTTCTCATAAATATACTCCCTCCCCGTCCTAAGATCCGAATTCTCCTCTCCTCCACCTCTCGGCGTCAGCACCCTTCCAATCTCCTGCAGCGGTAGCGGCTCTCCGGCAGCGGCTTCACGGCTTCAATCTCAAATTGTTTTTTTTTATCAATCTGGGGTGTTTCTTCTTCTTCGTTCGTCGTTTTCTTCCGTGGATCTTGGGAGATTTTGATTGACGGGAGGGAAGTTTTTTTTTCCTTCTGCAAGAGGTTTCGATTTCCCGAGGATCGCGTCCTTAATTATCTGATATAAATGCAACTTCTCATTTTTAGGTAGATTAGCAATATTTTACGGTTTAATTGGTGATTATATAAATATTTAAGTAATGGTAGTAAATTTATAATATATTAGGGAAGAGGAAGTATGAGGTGCAATTTCCTCTAATAATTACCTCGCAGCGACAGGCTTAACTAAACCTTGAGTTAGGTAGCCTATTCATTGATCCAACAATCACCACATTTGTGATTTGTCATTTGTCCTTTGACTATTTTCGTTTTATCTTTTATTATTATTATTATTATTATTATTATTATTATTATTATTGACAATCTCACTTTTCATGTCAAATAATTAAGAACCAATCAAATGAAAGGGTTGAAGCGTACTGAAAATTTATATGTTCTTTGGTTTGCTTAACTTCAAAACGATCAGACACTTAAAGCATATGTATTTTGTATAGTATTTTCTTTTCTATACATCACATTTCTCGTATTATGTACATGTCTATATACATTATGTTGCATTGGTGCCTTTCACGTCTGTCCAGAAGTTTGTCTTTTATTTATGACGATTGGGGTTATTACCAAGTAAGTAATACATTTAACTTTTAATTTGACGCCTCAACAAATTAAAAATTTCATAATGGTATCTACGCTTCAAATCGACAATAATTTATATTATTTTTATTCAAAATCATAAAATAGATCACTTTAGTAGAATTAATTTTATGACTACTATACACATATAATTTACATATAGTTTACATGTGTTATCTAAATAAATTTTTTCTAACATTCCCATCTTACTTTTATGTTAGTTTAGAGTTTGGAGTTTGTGTTGCTCATTCTCCTTATTGAAGATTTGATGATACATAATAAATTTTCGACCAACGAAAATTTGAGATAGAAATTCTATTGAGAAATTCAATGGATATTGCCAATAAATGTTCTAACTGATTTTCAACAAAAACAAAAAACAAAATATTTTATTGAAATATTGAATTTACGTTGAATGTCATTGCCCGTCGGTATAAACCAGCACCCATTTCTTCGACGATTTTTCTCGTTCTGCTCGATAATTACCAATATCCAATATATTGTTATATGTTACAATTATAAAATATTTATTGAATTTTCCAGTGAAATATTTTTTTCCTTAATTTTTTATCAAAATTTGGTCTCTTATTTTTTTTTTTTAATCAATATTTTGGTCTATTTCTGAAATTAATTTAGCTACATACATATTATTGTGGATCAGAAACCGTTATAAATTAATTGAGTCACTTGAAATGGAAGAAAAATGTGTGACTAATGATATGATTAAGATGGTTGAGCAAGAAAAGTAAGAATTGGATTCTAAAGTTGGTTAAGTTTGTTGCTGACTTTGTTCTTTAAAAATTAAAATAATTAGAAAATGAAGTGAATTCAATGAAACTGAGTTGGTTGACCAACAGTTGAAAAAAAGGAAATATCAACATTGACTTAAAATTATTGTAATATGTGAAGGCACTTTGTTTTAAGGGTACCTAATGCGATTTACAGCAGAAGCAACGTAGAATTGCCCTGGAAATGATTAGCCTTCAAATGACTCTTTCCTTATAGTTACAACTTACAAGATATCATAATCACTAGACATGATGTTGATCATCGCACGTAGAGATATTGATTCGACTGACGTCTTTCTTTTCTCTTCTCCCGTTCGGAAAGAAAAAAATGAGAAATGAAATATTATTCCCTGCAGGCTCAACCCAGTCCTAACATTCTACAAGAATAGTGTTCGACGTCTAATAGAAGGGGCACCGCTTTCATTCCTGCGCTTGGCGCTCTAACATTACCAATATCTAGTTTCAGGGCCAGGCATTTTGACTAAGGGCTTCGGTTTGGTTTTTGACTTCACTTCTCTTCGCTACGTTCGTTGGGTGGGACTCTCTCATCTTCTTTTCATTATATATTTATATTGCAAAAATGTGCATATCTAATTAAAATATAAGATTGTCTAATCATCAGATCAATTTTAACCGTAGTCTTATTGATTAATTTTAACCTTCCCTACTCTGCAATCAAGGTGCATAACTAAACTACCATTATCAACTGACCTTCCATAATTTGCTAGATTTTCAATTTGGTACTTTGATCAAAATTAGCAGATGCAGTAGGGTCTGCAGTCTGCACATGGAAAATTCAAAATTGCTTGTCACTAGCCACCATTTTTTCCCAAGCATCAGCCTTATTGTGGGATTGATTTTTATGCCTAACACGCGTGCACTCACTCTCAATTAGGGGATGATCCCATGCTTGATTTTACGGGTTTTTAAGAAGGTGATTAGGGTCGGTCTTGATTGCAACTCGTTTGCAGAGGTGTGAAATGGGGTGCGTGACGACTAATTACACATTGTCATATGCTCGGTAATACATTGAATCCCTTGCGCATGTTTGATTATAGGTTTTTACTATTACCGTCGATTGTGACTCCAATTATTGATTACTTTGTTTGAGAACACTTGCTAAATAAACTTTCAAGTGTAGTGTATAATAAGTGTTTGATGGTTGTTTGAGTGATAATTTGATAAATCATCCATTGAAATATCAATTTTGAAGAATGGATGATATGAAGTTGTTGAAAGAAACTCTCAAACGTATTGAATGGAAGTTTGTAAAGAAACTCTCAAACAAACAATGAATTATTATGCAACAAAGGAAAGGGGGCAGTGCTTTACTGATTGTGTTTATTAACTTGTGTTCAATATTACCTTTATTGTGATTGTATTTTCATTGCCTACAAAGCTTGTTGATTTACAGGTAAGCAATAATACAGTCCCTTTTGGTCTGTTCTACTGTGAATGTTTGTAATTTAAGCATCAAATTTTTCGGATCTCATCAATGTAAGAAGAAAAGCCATAACCACATGCTCAGGAATCAATGGTGCAGCATTATATGCCACACAAGTGTATCTCGATTGAGTAAATTCTCCAAAAATATCAAACGAATTGGAAGTGTGGAAATAAAATTTCTGCTGGGAAATCAAGCAATTGAGGATAATAAGATTAAAAATCATGATGCAAAACATTCAACGAAGGATCTACATTAAGAACAAATCAAGATTAACAAGAAAAGGACTGATGAAATAAACCAAAATGCAACAAAACACACACTATATCTCTCTCTCTTTTTTAATATTTCAATGGTGACGACGAATAATACAATCGAATCGAACTAATCTCAATCAAATTCGAAAAAAACTAGCTAAAATCGTGTACCTTACTGGTTGAATCCCATTCCAGCCGACCGGATCCGACCAGATCTGAATCACACGCGCCCTGCAACTGCGGGAGCAGCGGCCGCGGCGGCGGAGGAGGCGGCGCCGCCCAGGAACGAGAGGAATCCAGAACCGATCGGCTCCTGCTCATCCAGAAACAGATCCTCCGGCATGCGGAAGGCGCCGTGGGCGCACACCACGGCGAGGCCGGCCAGCAGGGCGGAGATGAGCAGAGACCCCACGCTGGTGAGGAACACCACGACTACCGTGGATACCACCAGAATTCCCAGCATCTCCCGATCCGAGAAAGCGCGGCCTGCCACCACCACGGGCTGGTCGGATGGGCGGAAGGCGTAGAGGAAGAGCCAGGCGCCGAGGAGAGCGAGGAGGAGGAGGAGGGAGAAGGGGTGAGAGAGGAGGGAGAAGGAGAGGGAAAGGGCGAGGAGAGAGAGGTAGTTGACGCGGAAATAGGAGAAGTTGCGGCGGATGCGGGAGGCGGCCTCGGCGAGGGAGTCTGGGCGGGAGAAGGAGGAGCGGTCGAGGAGCTCGAGCCAGGGGCGGCGCTGGGAGAAGGCGTGGCGGACGGTGGCGGTGAATCGGGATGCGAAGGCGCGGAAGGCGGGGGTTGCGATTGGCGGCTGAGATTCGGATTGGGGATTGGAGATCGGGATCGGCGGCGGCATGGCCATAGCTTGGAATGGAGAGAGAGAGAGAGAGAGAGAGAGAGAGAGAGAGAGAGAGAGAGAGAGCGTGTGATTGGCTTAGCTGGGCCTGCCTTGGAGATTCGGTTGTTGCAACAGTTTACTTCCCTATAATCCTTATTTAATATACATTGCCCTAATCATCAATTAACCATTGACAAGTATGGGCCATTGGGCCAGAGAAATTGAGGCCAACCTCAAACATAGGGTTGGGCTGAAATTTGACCACTAACATATATGCCCGAGAAAAAGTTCATTTTACACGTGGAAATTGTCGATGGTTTCAGCCTTGATCAACATAGGTTAAACCTCCGTGGGTAGGTAGAACTGAACCTGCCCATCCTTATGCTTATAGACTCACACAACAGTGAGCCTCGTCTCGGCTCAGCTCGTTACGCGAGCCCAGTTAAAGATTGTTTAAAGTTTTTGTAGTTAACAAGCTCAATAATTAAGGATCAAAAATATATTTTTTTATATACATAAATCTACATATATAGTTTGATTTTTTAGAACTCAAACTCGACTCGACTCGACTCTTTTGCACCTATTCATACGAGTGGGGGTGGCTGACGCTTTGACATGTTGCATGTTGAAAATAAAATATATATATATATATATATATATATATACACATATTTATTTTCACATATATGGTTTACTTTATTGTATCTATTTTCGCGGCTTATTCACTTATGGTAACTTTCTTGACATCATGACCAGGATTGCCAGCTGCACACCATTCATACGTGAGGAAGATCACGATTGGCCTTACATTGTTTCTCTTTAACTACAGTGATCGAAAGCTTCATGGTATCTTTGAGGCCAGTTCCACGGGGCAACTAGATATGGATAAATACACGTGGACAGCTAGCGAGGGTGTTGATATTACTCCTTACTTAGCTAGGTAAGCAATGAACCGTTATATTAAGATCACGATTGGCCTTACATTGTTTCTCTTTAACTTTTTTTTTATGAATGGTGTGCATCTGGCAATCCTGGTAATGATGTCAAGAAAGTTACCATAAGTCAATAAGTCGAGCATTAATAGTAATGCTCCTCTAACTACGGTGGACACATGTTAATATGTCCCCGCTTATGTGACATGCACACATTGATGATGTTAATATATTTAAAAAAAATACATCACCAATGTGTGCATGCCTTTGATATTTGGTTGTTGTAACAATTTACTTCCCTATATTCATTATTTAATTTAATATACATTGCTTTATTCATCAATTAACCATTGACAAGTAAGGGCCATTGGGCCAGAGAAATTGAGGCCTACCTCAAACATAAGGTTGGGCTGAAATTTGACCACTAACATCTATGCCCGAGAAAAGTTCATCTTACACGTGGATATTGTCGATGGTTTCAGCCTTGGTCAACACAGCTTAAACCTCCGTGGGTAGGTAGAATTGAACCTGCCCATGCCTTATGCTTATAGACTCACACAAGATGAGCCCCGTCTCGGCTCAACTCGTTAGGCGAGCCCAGTTTGAGATTGTTTAAAGTTTGTGTAGTTAACAAGCTCAATAAGGATAAAAAAATATATTTATTATATATAAATCTACATAGTTTGGCTCGTTAAAACTCGAACTCAACTCGGATGCCCATTTTTAGCAAAATCATGGAAATGGTGGTTGGCCTTTTGACATGTTGCATGTGGTGGTTTTGTTTAGCAATTATCACTTAGCTGATTGCTTGACTGCAGTGTTTTTTTAACTAACACGTGTTGATTGATTTGAATTGCGAATTGTATATGTTGTACGTAAAATTCCATGGGTCGGCCCACTGTCTTCCAAGACGCGCCATTCATAATGGAAATCAGACCCATACCAATTTAGGGCCAAATCATAATATGGACCCAAGAGCCCATATGAACAAGTCATGCGCCGATCTCAGTCTAGAATGAGCGATGTTCTACCCGTCAATACATTTATGTCGTCTGCAGTGTGAACAACAATCGATAAAACAAACCGGTAAAACGATTGTTCAACCGATCCCATCATCATTCTTTTTTTAAATTATTATTATTATTTCTTGAAAGAATGAATCAATAGTATTATGACTATTCTCACATCCCCTCATTGGTGACTCGAACTCATGACTTATCGGTCACTGATGAAGCGTCTAATTACCACCAAATCATTGTTCATCTGCTTTTTTGTGTAGCGTCTAATTACAACCAAATCATCTCATCATCAAAAAGTCAAAGTTTTAGCATAGAGGCACATATCACTCACTCGCACCCTTAGTTGGCACATGTTTTCGTCATTGTTCATCTGTTTTTTTGTGTGCAAATTGGACAATCGAGGATTCAAAATGGCACAAGAAGAAAAACGATTATCCAAGTTTTTTAGTCAAATGACTCAAATCTACCTCTTTAAATTCATAACCTCTATTACGCCTTCAGGCAATACCAACATTGAACATCCAAAGCTTCAACTAATAAGTTTATGTCACCTGGTCTAATTCACCTGTTCATATCTAACATGTATGTACAAATGCTAGCCAATACCTTAATGATCATGCAAACTATATATGGAGATGGACATAATCATCTCAAACATTTATTATTTAAGTAAATTATTTCATTTTCATGCCTCGCCCTTTCATAATCATCTTTCTACTTTGATAATATACTACAAACTCGAATTAAAACAAGATAAAATTAAAGACATACACCTTAATTTGAATGAATTATTTCGTTTTTTCCTCTAATAACCATGTGTCATGCAGCAATATTCATACCTACCGGTGTGGGCTAGTAGAGTCGAATCTTTACTTGAATTAAAATAGGAGAAACTCCTTTAATTGATTAGAAAACTTTGCTTTTTCCTATGTAATAGTTTAAATTAGTACAAAGCCCGTGAATTACATGGGTGTTTAAAAAAAAAATTAATTGTCCAACAAAAAAGTGAAAAATAATTAAAATTCTTGTTGTGAAATAAAAAGATATAAATAATTAATAAGAAATTTTTAAATATTATTTCGAATTCTAGTAAGAAATTAATGTTTTAAATATTATTTTGAATTCTAGAAAATATTTATCTGAAGTGTTATCTGTTTTATTTAATATATATCAATTTTTGTCAAAATTAAATATAACAATTAATTTATAAGCAATTAATATAACGCCCGTGAACAATACGAGTGCTTGAAAATAAAATATTTTTGCATAATAAAGAAGTGAGAAATTATATTATAATAGAATGATAAAAAATATAAAATACAAATGATAATTAAAATAATAAAGTTAATTATTTGAAATAATAACCATGTTCTATGCTCGATTTCAAAATAATAATGTTTTTAACCACAACACACACACACACACACACACACACACACACACACACACATATATAATATTATTTACAACTCAATGATTTAATTTTATTAATCTATTTTATTCAACTTTGATTATATTGTAATTATATTTTATATTAATACAATTTTCTTCCCTCATCTAATAGTTTTTAAAATATCTTTAAATTTATAATACAAATAATTTTAAATATAATGTGTATGAGATTACACTTTACAAAATATATTAATTATTTTTATTTTCTAATTATAATATTTATGTAGTTTTTTTTTCAGGATCATTATAATTTTCATTCTCTATGTAGTCTTTATTTAAGTTAAGACATAAACCTTATAGTATTTTCTTTTATATTAATTTTAAGTTCATAGTTAGTTTACATATATTTTTTATCTATATAAAATAACTATTTTATGATATGATACTACACATCAATTTTAATTTATAAGATAATTTATAGTTTTATTTGATATTCTTTAATTTATTTTGATAAATAAATTTAATTTTTTTATAATGATATATATATATATATATATATCAGTGTTTGTATTTCATATATATATATATATATATATATATTATGGATGTCAAAAAGAAGATCGTTAAAAGACAATTAATTTGATATATCATATACAAAATAAAAATACAAACAACAAAAAATATAAATTTAAAATAAGAATAAGAAACATTTATAATAATTGATGTATCAATTAAATAAGAAAAGTAAATGTAATATATGGTAACATAGGAAAAGGAAATGTAAAAAAGTTTATGATAACTAATTGTAGAAGAAAATAAGAAAAAATTAATTATTTAATATGAATAATATAGACATTAAATGAAATCCAAGACTAATTATTTTTACATAAAATTGTAAATTTATATCCAATCCTGACTCCGAAGCATGATTTTTTGACATATAAGATTCCGAATCGTGAGAGTCTATCACTGAACATCTACAATGCATTGGGTCTAATTTTGCTTATGTGACATCTAAATAGATTTAAGTCTTGGATTACATAGACAAACATATATAAAAGTAACAAAATTGTCTCCAATGCAAAGAGATTATGTTTCTATTTGGGTCTAAATTAGACGTAAGGGTAGACTGAGTTTCTTTTTTCTTTTTTGTGTCACGTCGCAGTCCACTCGCACTTATATTGAAGTATATATTTCCCTAAATAGGGTCTATTTCACGACTTGTATATTCTATTTCCTACGTAACATACATATATACTGTTGACGAACGTTTTCGGTCAACGGTTAAGATTAAAACTATTGAAAGCACAAG